CAGTGGTCCCCAACCTTTTGGGGCTGCCGGGCGGCCAGGGGTGGGGCTGCTCATGAAACACATGCCTGGGAGTAGGGCCACTCATGCGCCACACTCCCAGGGCAGGGGCCACACGCCCAGGGCGCAAGAATGGCTTGGGCCGGCCCTGATCACTTGGCAGGCATACATAAATGCCCTGGCAGGTGCCATGGCTCCCGCAAGCACCATGTTGGGGACCACTGCTCTATAGGGCAGTACTATCGGGAATCTGTTCTTATTGCTTAGGGATGTTTTCTTCTGAGGAGTAGATCCATGGAAGCTAAAAGACCTCTTTATGCCACCTCCATCTTGATCTAAGTTAAGTGCCCTTTGGAGCTGGATGGAGCATTGCATAAGGTACTTTGGAGGATAGGGTCAAAATTCAAAATGATCTGGACAAACTAGAGAAATGGTCTGAGGTAAACAGGATGAAGATTAATAAGGACAAATGCAAAGTGCTCCACTTACGAAGGAGCAATCAGTTTCACACATACAGAATAGGAAGTGATTGTCTAGGAAGGAGTACTGCTGAAATGGATCTAGGGGGTCAGAATGGACCACAAGTTAAACATGAGTCAACAATGTGACACAAAAAAAGCAAACACGATTCTGGGACACATTAACAGGAGTGTTGTGAGTAAGACAGAAGAAGTCATTCTTTCGCTCTACTCTGCGCTAATTAGGCCTCAATTGGAGTATTGTGTTCAGTTCTGGGCACCACATTTCAAGAAAGATGTGGAGAAATTGGAGAAGGTGCAGAGAAGATCAACAAAATGATTAAAGGTCTAGAAAACATGAGCTATGAGAAAAGACAAAGAATTGGGCTTGTTTAGTTTAGAAAAGAGAAGACTGAGAGGGGACATGATAGCAGTGTTCAATTATCTAAAAGAGTGTAACAACGAGGAGGGAGAAAAAAATGTTCTCCTTGGCTTCTGAGGAGAAGACATGGAGCAATGGGCTTAAATTGCAGCAAAGGAGCTTTAGGTTGGACATTATGAAAAACTTCCTAATTGTCAGGGTGGTTAAACACTGGAATAAATTGCCTAGGTGAGTTGTGGAATCTCCATCATTGGAGCTATTTAGGAGTAGGTTGGATAAACATTTATCAGGGATGATCTAGACAGTGCTTGGTCCTGCCATGAGAGCAGGGGACTGGATTCAGTGACTTCTCGAGGTCCCTTATAGAATCATGCAATCCTAGAACTAGGAGAGGACTCGTGCCCTCCATGAGTCCTACTGCATATTAAAATGAGACTAGCTACTACAGTACTCGCTGTGATATGACCCTCAGGTTCCTGAGTATTGCTAATATGTTTCTCAAGTGGGTAAAGTTTGAGCACTCCCCTGTTATATATGACAATCTACTCCTGAGGATATGTAGCAGCTGAAGTCCAAAACACAATCTCTGGCCTCCATTCTATAATTGCTGTTAAACTGGAGATAATCCAGTGCCACCGCACTTGGCAAGTGAAACATGGTCTTCAAACCTTTTATCTCTCCTTCATATGCCTTTGTCCCAGTGTTCATCTGTCACTCATACCATGTCAAAGAACACAACTAATCTCTCTGTTTCCTGGAACAGTTTATCTGAAAGGCACTCAACATGGTTTCTTTGTCACAAGAATCTCAGCACATCACTTAATGCAAATGAGTTAATCAACTGGGAAGACTAAAACGTGAAATTACAATGCTTTTGAAGATTCTGTAATTGTTAAAAAACAAGCAATGTGTTATCCAAAAGCACTGATTCTGAAGCAATTTTTTTTTCTTGAATAATCTCCGCTGTATCATGCTGCTTTCTGGCACTGAGACAGAAGTTAACTTTCTACAGGTTGAACCTCTCTAGCCCGGCACTCTCAGGACCTGACTGGTGCTGAATTAGAAGATTTGCCGAATCACAGGAGGTCAATATTGTCTAGAAGTATTACCAACACTTCCTCTGCTTACTGGGCTCTTAGTTCTACTTTACCTTTAAATGTCTTCTAAGTAACAGCATAGAACACTGAAAGCCAGAACTGGAGGCTGTACACAAACTTTATGGGACCACAAGAAACTTGGTCATATCCATGAATGTGGACAACCAGGTAACTAAAATCATGACGAACCGAAGAGTTCTAGACTATAGAGGTTCAACTTGTAGTTTAATAAATTGGCTATTGAACAGATAAAAATGTGTTGATATAAAACAAACCAGATGTTTTACAGCATATAGATGTTTATGGTGTTAACATTTATTTTAAAAAAATAAGGTTTTACATGGGTGCAATTTATGCCAAATATATGTCTAAAAAATAAATTGTATATTTTGGAGGTCACTATGCACACAATACCACAAGACACAGAAAAAAATACTTTTTGCTCCTCTTCCCCTATCTTTCCAATAGGTCAAAGTGTCAAAGAACCTAACAGGTGCCATTATACTTGTTAACGCTGTAAATTCCTGCACTTGTTAAAAGTTCATGCCCCTAAGACTGAAGTAAATTAAAATAATAAAGTAGGGATGTACAATTTTGATAATTTGGCTAATCGAATAGTCGATAAGGGCACTTCTTCCCCAGGGCTGTTGCTACACTTCAAAGGCAAAAGCACCGCAAGCAGCATGGGGCCAACGGGGGACTCAAGCAGTCCCCATGTCCGCTGACGCATTTCAAAGCGGCAGTACCACATGGAGCCCAGGGTCATCGCGGGAGTCCCCAGCTGACCCTGGATGCCACACAGCACTACTGCTTTGAAACACCCCCTCCTCTTTCCCCCGCCCTTGCTGCCTCTTTCGGATAGAGGCAGCAAGGGGGGAAGATGACTAGTCAACTAGTCGTTCACATCCCTATAATAAAGCTGATCTTTTCTAAAATGGTCTTCTGTTAGTAACAAACCTGACAATCAATACAATTAGAGCCTCTAGCAATGAGAGACTTTTCTATTCAGTTATGTTCCATAAGATTTTAAACCTACATGGTTATGTAGACTTAAGTAAATAGGTACAAGGCCAAGGACTTAATTTACCTTGCTATTGTGACAAGCTATTGTGGATAAAATAAATCCAAAGGCATTTTAATGACATGCCAAATTTAGGAAATGATTTAGAACTTCTCCTCCTTTCACTAGAAGTTAATATAAATGGGGCTAAGATGACAGGCCTTGATCTTCACACCACAGGTGTGCGGAAGGAATGCCTCCTCCACAAGAGTCCACACAATCCTATGTAAGTCAATCTAGGAAGCAGGGAAGGTGGCGGTCTTAGAAAGGACTCTCCCTGATTATCTTTCTCTTTTACTGTTGATTGAGTATGTTATAACAGTAGCCTGACAGCAGCACGAGGTAGGAAGAAAACAAAGAGAAAGGGTAAAAATATCCTGGAGTGACGTGATAAAGGGCAATGGAAGAAAATTCAGAATACTTGTGATCGTCGTCAAAGTAAATGACTAATTAAATTACCCTGAAGACTATGGAGTGCTATTTATCTATTTATATAATTTTCACGATTAAAAACAAACAAAAAACAAACAAAAAACTAAAATCAGACTGTTGTAGATTATATGTTAACATCATAACTTTGATCTTATTTGTTATTCCTGAAGCATGAACTCTGGTTGTGTTGCTAGAGAATGTTTCACTAAATGCTTCACTAAGGTAAACAAAATCAAACAAAGGTTCAACCCCCTTCCTTCTATTGAAAACAGTAGAATCTGTTGACCACTGAACTCAGGACTTCTTTCTTAAACATGGCCACCAAAATCAAGCAAGAAAATTTAGAGACAGGAAACGGTCTTAAAATGTAATTGTATTCCATTAAAACGACTAAATAAAATGACGTGTTTTTAATCAGACCTTCTTTTAGGGCCAGATTTTTAGCAGGTGTAAAACTGTATATGCACATTGGCTTTAATGAGACTGTGCTTACTTACAGCAGTGGAAGAAGTAGCCTTTTCTATGCTTTTAGAATCACATTTACCAAGTTCAGTAAGAAAAAAGTTCTCACCACTTTTTACTCTTGTTGCTTCTGTAATGAAACAGAAGCAAAGAACAAATGTACTGGATTCTATTCTTCCTATACACTAGCATAGGTGTTCCCTAAATTAAAATCAGTGACAACTGTGCAAATACGCAAACAACAACAAGAATAGATATCACCAAGAACAGTATTTGGCTTGTCGGTACATGGGAACCACTGAAGTTCCACCTGCAGCTCACGCACCTCCCATCTTTCCCCCTCCCCAACGTGCCTCTCGCACACTAGAGCACTGGAGCCCCACACTTCCTACTTCTCCCCCTCCCTCCCAACACTTTCAGAATGCTATGTATCTGCTCCTTCATGCTCCATCCCCATTCCACCCCTGCCCTCCCAGAGCTTGAATGCCGTGAATTAAGGGCTGAGAGGAGGTGCAGGGGCCACTGGTAGAACCCCACTGCCACAGGTTGCCCAGCACAGTTCACTCGGCCCACTGAATGGAAGGAGGTCCACTCCTGTGGCCCACTCACTAGTTTTGGTTGCCTATTGCTATACGAGAGAGACATAAATAAACTTAAAAAACCAACAACAAACGGTCTGGTAGCACTTGAAAGACTAACAAAACATGTAGATGGTATCATGAGCCTTCGTGGGCACAGCCCACTTCTTCAGATGACCAGAGTGTTGGATGTCCAGGACCAAAAAACTTTTTTGGTCCTGGACATCCAACACTCTGGTCATCTGAAGAAGTGGGCTGTGCCCACGAAGGCTCATGATACCATCTACATGTTTTGTTAAGTCTTTCAAGTGCTACCAGATTATGTTTTTTTAAGTTTATCCTGTACAGACTAACTTGGCTACACCCCGAAGCAAAGAGACATAGTAAATTATGCCATTATGCCATTTTTATGGAGGCAGAGTAAACATACACGATATACCCATTATTATTAGAGAAAAATGGCACAACAGTGTGAGAAGACCTCAACAATAGTGTTCAGTTGTAGTGCTGAATTTCTTTGGTTACGTTAAAACCACAAAACCAGACTATGCTTGGGTTATATAGTTCATTTCTATTCATCACCACAGGTTACAGAAAACAAACGCTAACATCTCAGAGTTTTTACCAAGATAGTACAGGTGACTGATAGCTACATCTGGAATTTTAAGAACAAACACATAAAATAACCTCAAGGAAATTTTTATTATTAGTTAAATAAGGAGCTGCTATACCAAAGCATAAAATGCCTGTGCTTTTTGGAAATTATCCCAAAAAAAATAACCGGATTTCTAAATACAAGAACACAAACATACTCTGGTGGTGGATTTCTAATCCCACTGGAGAAAGTCCAGATCATCTCCATTTAAGGTAATGCAAGCAGCAGCTGCACATTTTTGTTCCCCAGAAGAAAATGAAGCAAGCCAAAGTCTCCAACAAGTATTCCTTTTTGAAACCTTTTCTTTTCTAATGGCCCAAATTAGTTCACTTCTGGCTGAGCACCTTGTACTGTATACAGAAGAGTTGATCAGAAAAATGCAGTGTGCATTTAAGTATAATTTGTAGACTTACTGCACCGATATGACAACAGTAAGCACACTAGATATTTTATAAAGAAGACTCTTTATTCATACTTCACGTAGCAGAAAAAGAGGGTTTAAAGACTGATGCAGAATTTTTTTATTTTTCCATAACCTATTTAATGTAAGACCAATTTTTCTACAGTCAATATAATGACCACAAGACTCACAATGGATATATACATAACATTCACCTAGTATGAATCTATAATTCTTATTCAGGTATTTTAAACAGTTCTGGAGTAAACAGTCCTAAAATGCTTTTAGAAATACACAGAAGAGTGTTATTAAATTCCTTCAGAAGCACTGTTTAAGCATTTGTATTAGTCTATCATTTATTTCCTGATCACAAATTAAACACAATAAAAAGTATCAAATTTTAATGAATTTGATGCAACTATTAGATTGAAAGCAATAATTTCTTTCCAATATGTCACAATCTACTATATATGTCAGAGACTTTGAGCTTTTGTCTGTCTCTCCATCATCTGGGAGTCTGTTCAAGAACTCCTAAACATTAAGAGCTAAGGTCAACCAAATTTGGTATGCGCTTCCTCTTATCATAACATAAAGCAAGGTCAGGGTTTGATTGTGTCAGGACAATGGGATGTGCATGGAATTGGACTGTTTCTCATCAAATGGAAAGGGAGGGCTGTGATAGCAGGGACAGTTATTCTCCAGAATGACCATGGGGGGCAGCAAGCAAGTGTGTCCGTCACCCTGGGCCAGTCCCAGGGAGCAATACTGCCAGCTGGGAAGCACAGCAGCCTTCATCATCCTGGGCCAGCTCCAGGGAGCAATGCCGATGGCCACTCTCACACCCTGCTCTGAGCCTCCTACCCACTGTCCTGGCTCTTGAATCCCCATCCCCTTCCTTGAACCCCCTCCCCACATATACACACCCCTTCCAAAACCCTGCTCTGGCTCCTGCACCCCCATACTCCCAGCACAGAAGGATCTGAGTAATGTCAGGTAAATCTCATAGTACTATATATGAAAAAAATCCCAATAAGCATATACAGACACAGTGGCAGTAACAGACCAGTGCAGCAAAATCAACAAAGACAAGTTAAAAGCCTGGAAATGAATAAATGAATGACAGAAAAACACCACTTTCTCTATGCCCACTTTTACAAGAGATGTTGGGTGGTGTAGTCAAATACTAATGATTTTAACTGTGGACATTTTACTGTCAGGTCAGAAGTGAAGCAGCTGACTTTAAGCTAAGGAAAGTGCTTTTCCTAAAAGTGATTCAATTGGTCTAAAGAGAACAGCCCCATAATGTACCCATCAATGGTAAATGCACTTTCTGTGGGACTGCATCCTGTGATAAATATACGATGCTTTCTATATAAAGGGCAAATACATTTCTCCTGAGATGTCAGATATCCAGAATACTAACACTGTCACTACGCCTGAATTATGAAGTCTTATGAACAAGAGCCACCACTATTCACTTGAGATATTTTATTAACTTTAAATTGAAACATGTAACCTTACATTTTCTGTTCCTGATGCTGAAGGGCAATAGAAATCTGCCAGATTTACTGTATTAGGATAAATACGTCCAGCTCTGGTTGTGTTAAAAGTTATTGCAACAGTTTTACAGGACCTGGCTTCGTTTAACTAGGGGTAAAGTCTAAGAGTAACTCATCAAAACAGTGCAGAAAAGTATTTTAATGCAAACACTATATATTTAAAAAAAGCTGCAAGGCAAAACCATTCTCTCAGCAAATGACTTTCTATCTGGTTTGTGATCTCTATTTAAGCTGCACAATTTACAGAGCAGGAAACACATCTTCCTTTGTTTACTAATGTACCAAATATATTATCTGTGCTTTATTACAAAGAACGATCATATCTGACCACAATATAATTTGGTTTGAGGTAAAGGGCAAAAGAAGTAACTATTTTAAGACTATCTGGAAAGCTAAAAGCATCCCTCTTTATCTGGGCAAAACCCTGCCCCACATCTAAGTTGTAGAAGTGGAGACCTTAAGATGCATCAGTTTCTCTGTGGTGGGGAAGGAAAGTTTTAGAGAACATAACACAGAGAGAATAGTGATCAAGTGTATAACAATATTAAAAGCTCTCTCACAGCTTAGTAAACCCCTTTTAACACATGAAAATGGTTCAGAGCTTTTGAAGATACTTTCAAGACCCATAAGGAAAAAAAAGGATATAATTTATATGGAAGCAAAATATCCAAATAGTGGCGTTTTTTTATCATAGGAAAATATTTTTTCATTGTAGCAAATTTACCATTTTGAAGAAATTTCTAGTGTATTCTTAATTAATCACAAATTTATATAAAAGTTACTAAAAATACTACATATTGACATGCAAGCTCATCCCCATGTTTGCAAACACTAGATCATATCACTGCCCATGCCCTTCGGTTCATGCCCATGAAGACTGTTTTCCTTCTGTACACTTTCTTTAAAAATGTGGCCAATAAAAAGAGCCCCAACAAACATTTTTTGAGTGCTACCATTACTGTCATCATGAGTTTAGATGAGCAACTTCCCTGTATTAAAAGGCCATCTGATAACCAATCACAACTTTTTAATTCCTGCATGACATCATGAGCCCTGCCTCAAGCTTTTGTTATTTTTTCCTCCGCCTTCTTCAATTGTTACTACAAACTTTGTGACAGACAGACAAGTTGCCAGAGAAGTCCAGACCAAGTTTCCCACAGCTCAGAGTGCAATATCCTATAATTCACTAATAATCATCAGCAGAGGTAAGGGATCGCTTCTTATTACAATTATATTGTAAGTTAAAAAATAAACTGTTCTGTGCAAACTTAACAGCCTATGCTATAAATGCTTATTTAAAATAAAACCCAAGCTGCTTTTTAAAAAAATTGCAGCACTTTTGGCATTACTGTTCCAAACCAAAATAGTGCAATGGGGATAAAAAAGGTTGGTAGTTTTGTTTTTTAAAATTATCAACTTATTTTTAATATGAAGCTAAGTTTTTCCTTGGTGAATTGATTAAGCAAACAACATCACCACAGCAGAGGTCTTAATTATTTCCCCTACACCTCTACATTCTGGTTTTGGTTGGCTGGTTTTTTTGGTTGGTTTGTTTTAAAACTCAGATGGAATTTTTCTTTTTCTCATCAAAAAGTAAGTTTTAATTCAAGAGTTTACATTACTATCCTTTGATTTTAGGGTTTCTACTTCTAGTTTCATTGCCACTAGAAATCCAGCATAAAGAAAGTTAACCTGCCTATTCTTAAATCAGACAAGTTGGTTCACTTACTTAACATATTTTAAGAGAAGAATTTTTTAAATTAACACTAAATAGAGAGACCCTATTCTGATTATAAGGAAAGATTAAAATGCTGAGCCTTCATCATTTTACAGCATTTGAATTTTAATCCAAAAATATTATGTATTACTTCTGTAATTTTTTTAAACTTCTTCTTTTTTTCTGGTGGCCAGTAAAAGCCGAACTTGACCTTTCTTATGATATCTTAACTTCTGAATCCATTAATTTAATTTAAATACATGTCTCAAAAGATTAATATGTAGCAAGAAAATGCAGCTCAGCTTCACAAATATCAAAGGTAATGTTTATAAATAAAATATTCTTCTCATCCATCATTGATAAAAGTGTTGGGCACTATACAAACCACATGACACAGTTTTAGCTGTTTAAAATAAGACCTTTTTATAAAGGACATGAAGAACAAAAATATATGTAACTAATTTTAAAAAGGAAATGAGTAAAATAAAGGAAATGTCTGGTAAACAGGAACATTTGTCACTTAAGCTTTTCCCCCCTCTATTTTTGTGTTTATTTATTTTGTTGAGAAATCCAAGAATCCATGGCTGCATGGCTCTGGGCACGGGACAAGTATTTTCATAAATGAGAGACATATATCAATTTTTAGAAATCAGGAGATTGCAAAACACACAGTCTTAATGCATTCCCATCTCTGTTCCAAATCTGTATCTGTTCCAAAACATGGCCCTGTATTTCTATCAATATATACCACATACATGCATGTTTACATTTTAGGATAAAATCCATAAATACCACAGTTTTACTAGGTTTTACTAAGTATTTCGTATTTAGACATACATTCTCCAAACACTCGTGGGAATGACAGCATGCAATTCCATTGAGAGCTGTGTGCAAAGCATTCATCAAGAATCTATCAAGATATTTGTATCTGGACACATCATCCATGTGCTAATTTGAACAGGGCACTGTTTGAACTCTATTCCTGGAATGCTTTGATGTTCTTAAGGTGAACCTTGCAGCATACAACTAGTTGAAGACTATGAAATTCTGTTATAGGAGTTGTTTCCGGAAAGGAGCAGTAATACATCTAATTTTGCCTGCAAGAGGCATTTGTCTCTGGACATTTAGGTAACAGCATTTTATTTTCTTGTCAATATTTTCATTAAAACTAAATATTCTGTCCTTTCATACAAAGATAGGATTTGTTAATACTAAGTTTGTTACAGTAATTATAGTTAAGAAATGAACAAAAAGTTAGAGTTATTATACTGTGTGCATAATATACACACACACACACACGAAGTTATAGCACTTAAAAATCCCCAATATAGGTTGAACCTCTCTAGTCCAGCATTTGCTGGTCCATAGTCTGGCATGATTTTAGTTAGCCGGATATCCACTTATCATAGGTGTAGATAAGTTTCCCACGATCCCATAACGTTTGTTTACAGCCACTAGTCCTGGCTCTCAGTGTTCTGTGTTGTTATTTAGCTTGCTCTAAATGTACCCCTAAATGTCTTCTAAGAGCCCAGTAAACAGTGGAAGTGCTGATAATGGTGCTAGACACTACTGACACACAGTGGTTCGACAAATTCTCTGGTTCAGCACCAGGCAGGTCCCAAGGGTGCCTGATTAGAGGGGTTCAACCTGTATTAAACTCTTTATAAAATATATCCATGGCTATAACCGGTGAGATTCTTGTATGATATAAATCAATCCACAGGCTTTAATGGAATTATTCAGATACAAATTAGATTAGAATGTGGCTCATCATCTATATATAATCTTAAAAAACCCTGCACAGGTAATAAACCATGTTGTAGAAGTCCATGAGTGTTGAGTACCAACAGAAGTATTGGTGATATACATTAAAAAAGTTTTAAACAGATTTAACAGATTACATTTAATTTACTGTTAGCTGTAACTATCTGCTTTTTTAATTTGTCTGATTCCTTATTAATATTTAAAGACAGTTTTAAAATACTGCATACAAGAAAATGAATGAGTGTTTCATAGATCTCTAGGGATCTATTCTTATCCCATGTAGTACATCACTACTCTGACATTCATTATTTTGGATGCCTTATTTCTTGTTCTGTAGGAGAGCTATGAATAGAACTTCCTTAATGTTGGATTAGCAGTAAATGTAAAGCTCATTTAGATAATTACAGAGAGCAAAAATGTTCTAATGCTGTACTTCTTATAACATAAGCAACTGACAAATGAACTCAATACATCTACATAGGAATAAACTAAATTCTTTTGTTCTGTTTGTTTTTAATGGCATTTGATTAAACAATAAATATACGCCAGTTAAGGACCTGAACTTCGGAAAGTAGAGTGAGTGATATATGAAAGCTTTCTTGGATTTGCCCAAGCATCAAATTGCTTTTTAACCATTTGAACTCACCCCTATTCCATCCCCCCATCCAGTTTTTTAAGAAGATTAAAAAGGGAAAAAACTGACTCATTACGTTACCTAAGCCTCAAATCAATGGCCATTTCCTTATTTTTATTTATTATTAATTATAAGTACTACAGTCGCAGCTAGAACCCTGAGTTTGGAGACCCACTGTACTAGATGCTGTAGATACACAAATTCATAAAGAGAGACGCATTCTCAAACATCTTCTCATCTGAACAGACAAGTCAAACATGGGAAAAAGCAAGCGGTGTTATTCCCAGATTTTAAGAGTGAAAATTGATTCATGAAGAGATTGAGTGAAATCACACATGGTCTATGGCAGGTCTAGGAACAGAACTCATATTTGAGTCAACCAAAACAAAAATGACTCAATATACAGCAAGGTCACTACTAATATTATTAAATGATTATTAGTATAACCACACAAACCATGTTGTATAACTTTCAGAAACATGAATCTAAGCTATATATATACACAACTAGAATTGCTGCAGACACTGAGTGAGTAATTAGGCATATATTCTTTTTTTAAAATTACTGTTAGGTAATTATAGGATTCTAATTAGTGTAATTTCTAGACACCTTCGCTTCTGTTGGTCTTCAGCAACCTATAATTTAAGACGTTCCACCTCACTGATAGCTTATTTTATTTTGGTACAAGAACAGCAACAAAATTAATGAACATAAAGGGGAAAAAGTTCCCTGAATCAATGGAAAAATGGAAATTGAATTTTTTATTCTAAATTCTTCCTCTGAAATTGACCAACAGAATAATTGAACTTAGCCTGTTTTATGACATCTTAACCACAGAATCCATTAATCTGATTTAAAGGCAGGAAAATTCAGTTAAGATCCTCAAATATTATGCTCCGAGGACTTCCCCCCCCCCCCCTAAAAAATAAGTATCTCGCTCACCTATCATTAAATCAAATGTACAACAAAAAGTAACCCAAAACAATTTTAAAATTTGGTCCATGCAATTTCTGGCAACGTGGATTCCTTTTCCTGAACTGTTTTCTGTACTCCAGCTTCAGTTCACACCCTTTTGCCATTTCTTGAACTTTCATCCCTTTGATTTCCCCCTCCATTTCTCCTCTTCTGCCCCATACTCTATTTCTGTGTCTCCCTACCATGATGTCTGTTTTTGTCTAACTTCCATCCTTTACACAGTTCAATCCATTCTCTTCCCCAAAATCAGCTTCTCTTCTTTGATGTTCAGGTTGCATCCAGATGGCTGCCCCTCTTATTCATGGTGTGTACCCACAGTACTAGTCCTTTCCTACAATGGCATGCTTTGATCAGCACTCTTTTCTAGCCAAAACACTTAAATCAGATCAAATAAGAAAAAAATCCACCCGGAGGTTCTACAAGACCTGTGATCAGTGGTACAGAAAGCGGCTATAATGTGGCTGGATACACAGACATTCAGCTAGTGGCCAAAGAACCAGTGGACCATTGGTAGAGCATTGCTCTGCTTCAGAAAATTGCTAGATGTCATTATAAGCCTTCCCAGCACCACACACTCTTATCATTTAGTCTTGTTTTATTTATGAACACTTGTTTTATTGACTTAAATGGAGCATAAACAGTAGACAGAGGACCTCTAGTGGCCTAATGAGTTAATGGTCCCCCTTCTTCCTGGACTGAAAAAAAGGAGATTTCAGAAGGACATAGATAGAAGGATTTCAAAATTAAATGGACCAATACAATCACTGGTTCAAAATAGGAGGGTACCTATGATGAGGTTAGACATATAAGGAACTATATATATATAGCAAAATTATCCAATCATGGAGGTAAATCAACTGGTAGATCTCCCATATTGCCTACAGATTTCTTTGCATGAGCAGAGTAGCAAATTGTAGTCTCAGTTTTACTCTTGGATCTGCATGTTGCACATCTAACTGTGATTAGGAGCTGCAACTCTGCACTCCATAGCTCCTGTTCAGTATTTAATCCAAGAGTTGGGAACCATTTTTGGGTTGGGGGGCCGCTGAACCACAGAAAAATCAGTGGGAGGCTACACACAAGCAAAAAAAAACAAAACAAACACAACACAACCA